CTCTCAATGCATTTCAGTGTTAGTTCAAATGCTGTCTCCTCAAAAAATGACTTGCTTAGCCATCTCATCTGCAATAGCAGCCCCCTTTCCTCTCTAGGTTTTTATCCAGCCTTGTTTTCCTTCATATTACTTGTCAACCACCAGATATTAAATTTAACCATCAAGGTTATCAAAAACAAAGAACTTCTGAGAAACTGTCACAACCAAGAGCATTCTAAGGAGACACGACAACTAAATGGAATATGGTATCCTGGATAGAAAAAGACATTCAGTAAAAAATAATGAAAACTGAATAAACTATAAACTTTAATTCACAGTCATGTATCACAGTAAGATGTTAATAATAGGAAAAACTGGATGTAAGGAAATTCTCTGTATGCTCTTCATAGTTTTTCTGTAAAAATGAAGCTAATCTGACATTTAAAGTTTATTTTAAAGAAATATGTGTGTGTGTCTGTGTGTGGTGGTTCATGACTATAATCCCAACACTTTGGCAGGTCAAGACCAAGAAACATTTTGGTCTAGGAATATATGATACCTAAAATTAATTTCAAGGCAGTGAGCAAGGAGGTAAAAGTAGATTATGAGGTTATGAATCTAGATGACTGGAAGAATGTTAATATCCTCAATTAAAATGAGAAATGTATAGGAAGTTCTCTGAACTTCCTACACAGATGGTCCTCAATTTAGGGTAAATCCACTATGACATTACATTGAGTTTTTTGGGAAATAATCCTGTTGTAAGTCAAGAAGCATCTGTATATTCACATGTTTCATTTGGTTGTCATAAGCAGCAAATGATAAATAAATTTTAAAAATCCTTTGAAAAAGTTAAAAACGCCCAATGAAATGTAAATTATTTTTAATTTTTTATTTACAAAATTTCTAAGTACAAAGTTAGAACAGGAGAGTACATTATGCTGTTTTAGCAAATGCTTAGCTCTATGACAGCATTATAAAAGTTTTCATTTTTTCTATGTCTCAGGTGAAAAACTTTAATAAAAAAATAATTTCTGTAGAAAGCATACTGAGACCTCTGCTCTCCACATCAGTCCTGGGGTTATTAAATGATCATTATTACTATTACCTAATATCTAGCTGAGACTAACATGCATACAATCTACGGAACAAATGAAAGGTGTTATCCTGGAGCAAAGTAACTTTTTATGATCAATAGTCTATCATTAGCATAATGTTTATTTTATGCATTCACAGACTTTTTATCACCTCAGTTGTGGTTTATAAATATTAACCTATTGATCTTTGCTGCTCTTCCATCTGCTACAGAAGTTTCTGATAGACATCAACATTTCCTTTTTTTATAGGTGAAGGACAAAGCAATAAAGGAAATCTCTAATTATTTGATGACTGGACATGGTTGCAGAAAGATTCAAAATCCAAGGTTGTCTAACCACATAAATTCCTCAACCTTCCCTAGAGGCTGACATTCTAGTTTATCCATAAAATCCAAACTAATATGTTTCCTTTTAAATTGAAATGTAGAATGAATACAGTAACACCATGTACATAATTTACCCAGCATTGTGACTTGTGACTTACATATGCTTTATAAATTATCAAATAGCATACTGAAAATTCAGTGCTTGGTTTGTTCCACAAAAATCTACTGCCATTTATTTTCTTTTCTGTTTTCTTTTTCAAGTTTTGGCAGCAGCAATTTGTTAAGCAAGAGTTCCTGAATTCTTCCCAAGAAATGTGTCTTTTCATTCTTTTAGGAATCCGTTACACCGAATACCAATATGATTTCATTTAGGTAGTGAAGATCAGCTCTTTGAATGATCAAAATAACATACCCATAAAAATCACAAAAGAATACATTTAGAGGAGTATAAGAAATCCATTACTTTTCTTAAACTTTTTTTTTTTTTTTTAACTCAGCTTGTATAGGTTTCCTGATGGGAAGCTTTATTTGGTCCATTATGGCTTTAAATCATTTTGCTAAAATAAACTCGATACAAGATTGGGGCCTAGGATGAGCATTAGAGTTACATTTAATTAAAATTTAAAATGCAAAAGCACTTCAATTTTTCATTTTTCCTGATTTATACAGAAAAATGGGTGCACATACGTGTGTTCCTTTGATAGGATTCAAATTAGCAGTGAGTTTTTAAAAATATGGTCCTTAGTAACTTCAACAAATGTCCTTTTACCAGCTTATCTTGAGCAAAACAGAGACCTTTTAAATCAAACTTCTGTTTCATCTATTTCCTTCTTTATTATTGAATGAATAAAGTAATTTTGCATGGAAACATAAATGCTTATCAAAATTGGAAAGTAATAAGTGCAACAATAAAACCATTTGTTAGAAGCTTCATATATTATTATATTATATTATCATGACAGTAATATATTTGTCTCTTCATAGGGAGTTACATGAACTTCTTAAGCTGCAAACTCAGACATAAGTCATGTGTGTGCAAGGCAAAGGACCAAAAATTATGTCCAGTTAAATCCATGGACATTTGTTTACGCAAAGAAGCTTTAGAACTGGAAACCAAGAGCCCCCACTTCCCAATTTGCAACACAGAAAAGGCTCTCAGTAACAGGTTTGACAAATCCACATTTAGTTCCATACGGTTATTTATCCTCCCTATGTCTTTGAAAGTAAAATACTGTGAAGGCAGCATTTGAGTTTTTGGTGACAAATTACTTTTCTCAATAGAATCAAAGGCTCTGGCCAGCTGCAATAAAATAGATGAGCCACAGCTGGCTTTCATAATAATCAATCCTGATTGCAGAAGGATCGTGGCACTTCTGGATTGATTGTGAGGACCTGCCATGACAAACAATACTGACCAATTCAGTCATGTTGACAACCAGTAATTTCTCATGTTTAGATACAGACTCTACCTCATGTCATCAGAAGGAAGGAAGGTGAGAGTTGAAAATCATCCAATATATTTGGACGATAGTAGAAAACTCTGAAAATTCAAAAAATCCTTAAACTAGATTTGGAGATCTCAATCACATGATACATCAATACTGACTGAGACTACATCTATATTATATCAGTAAACAGGGAATCAGTTTTCTAGGAATTTTTATCGCCTCCTCTACCTACCCATACATTCTAAAGGAAACTGCCTTTCCAGAACTCCTGCTATGTGAACTGTGGACCACTTGACTCCAAATTTCCTCTTACGTTTCTCCAGGTGTAACTCTTTCTACCAGGGATGGATACCTCATGAAAAGGCAGTCACTCCATCGACATGGTAGTGGCTTAGGACTTGTGGCATAACCCAGAAAAATTCCTTCTTTGGGAATTTGGAGTTGAGCAGCTAAAATACTGAGTTAATTAGCTATAGAAAGCTAAGCCTAAAAGTCGTATAATTTCCACAGCTGGGTAAGCCATTATAGACCAAATATGAATGACATAAAAGAAAAAGTAGCAATGGCTAACATACATTGAATACGTACTCTATGTCAAACACTATCCACTAGGTATTTTGTTTTTATTTTATTTTATTTTACTTTATTTTATTTTTGAGACAGAGTCTCACTCTGTTACCTAGGCTGGAGTGCAACGATGTGATTTTGGCTCACTGCAACCTCCACCTCCCAGGTTCAAGCAATTCTCCTGCCTCAGCCTCTCAAGTACCTGGGATTAAAGGCATCTGCCACCACACCTGGCTAATTTTTTGTATTTTTAGTAAAGATGGGGTTTCACTATGTTGGCCAGCCTACTCTCGAATTCCTGATCTCATGATCCACCCGCTTCGGCTCTCAAATGCTGAGATTACACGCGTAAGCCACTGCGTCCGGACTTCCACTATGCATTTTAAACCTCCTGTCATTAACACTGTTGGTAGATACTATTATTATCCAGATAAAATTGATGAAAAAAATCTGAAATTTGGAAAGATAAATTAAATTCCCCCCATCATATAGATGTGAAATGAAGACAGAACTGAAGCTCAATTCTGTTAGACTCCTCTTGACTACTTAGCTATAAAACTGGGAATCTATTGTGGGAGTTGGAGAAGAGAGAAAAAGAGAAACAAACAGAAATAGAGATGACCTCACCTCATCATGTATGCAGCCCTAAGAAAGTAGCCTGAGCTACAGTTCCCATAGGTGTAAACGTTCAATAATCTCTGTCCTTCGGTTCTCATGAACTCCCACCATGTCTCCAGGTTGGCGTAGAGTACACAACACTGTCCGTGGTTAGAGCTGCTGAGATAACTAAGGCAAAGGTAATATTTTTCTTCATTTCTTCAGACATTTCTTTAAATGTTTGACAATTCATTTTGATTTCAGAGATTTGACATTAGTATTGTTTTTCTGTATATGGGATATATAAGCATCTAGTGACTATGAGTAAATATGAAAGTTGGGTGTTTTTTAACCAATTTGTTAATTTTAAATTTATCAGAACCATCAAAAAAAACAGAAAAATGTTAATAAATAATTAATAAAATTATTATTTATTTATTTATTAATGGCCGTGACATTTTAATATACATATGCTTCTTCCCTCTAGAACCACTTAATATTCTGAGATTTAAATCCATTTCAAATAATTAAATCACTAATGGCCTCAGCCCATTATAATGCCTCAATCTCATAAACAAAACCCTGGATGGCAAAGCTGGCCCTCTGCCCCACTCTTCCTGCAACTAGGTAAACAATTAGTTGAAAAATGAGGCATTGTGGGATTTATACCACTATTAGTCTGTTTTCACACTGCTGATAAAGACATACCCAAGACTGAGCAATTTATAAAAGAAAGAAGTTTAATGGACTTACAGTTCCACATGGCTGGGGAGGCCTCACAGTCATGGTGGAAGGTGAAAGGCATGACTCACATGGTGGCAGACAAGAGAGGAGAGCTTGTGCAGGGAAACTCCCATTTTTAAAACCATCAGATCTCATGAGACTTATTCACTATCATGAAAACAGCACAGGAAAGACCCGCCCCCATGATTCAAGTACCTCTCACCAGGTTCCTCCCATGACATGTGGAAACTGTGGGAGTTACATTCAAGATGAGGTTTGGGTGGGGACACAGCCCAACCATATCAATACCCAACATTCTCTTCTAAAGACCTAAATAGAACTGGAAAAGATGAAGAAGGCCTGGATGATTCATATAGCCCCACATTTTTGAACAATGCTACTTTCTTATGTAGAAGTGACATTCAAAGGATAATAAAAATTTTATATTACCTTACAGCTTACATTATTTGTACATTTCAGTGCCCTGATTTTCTTTGTCCTAGGCTTTGTATTAAGGTTGCAGTTTAACTCCATTGCCAAGTTTGGCAGATTCAAACTTCAACGTCCACGGTCCTGATTCTCCAGTGGCCCCATCCCGACTCACGTGGCTCAGTCTAGACAGGGCCTCCATGTTGTTTGGGCATCCATCAGCATTGGTTTGTTCCATGTTCCACAAGCAGGCAGTACAATCAACTTTTCTTTTTCAGAGAGTCAACTGCTGCTATATTTGGCAGTAGTTAACTGTTTAAGCAAATCTAGGATACTGGAACAGCAGTTTAAGATGTATAATGAGGCACAGAAATAGTTCCTTTGCATTTTCCATTACTTTCATAATGCTTCACCAACATTCTCCCTAAAATTGTTTCTCTTTGTTTTTAAAGGGAGGTAGGAATAAAAGGTTATTGCAAAAATATAAAGGCATCTTTATTCTCTTTGATATTGTTCACAAATTCGGTGTCATTACAGACAAATTGTTGAAATGATTTGCAGATAATATTATCTGAATTGCCTTAAACTCATTCCACTGTATTTTTCCCTTAGAATAATGCCCTCACTCTAATGGAATTTCAAATATATTAGCAGATATTGCCATTGATCTTTCTTCATGTTAAATAACTATTAAATCTATGTGTTGCATTCTTATAAATAAAATATATAAGCACCATTAAAATACATATACATTTATATTTCACATGATTCTACTCATTTCTATGGCATATTTTTAAGGATTAATAATCCATTTTGCATTTCTTTGAGTTGTGGGGCTTTTGCCACACCATAAAAAAGCCCTATGATTTTAATGTGATGCAAATATAATATATAAATTATGCATTTAATATATGTGTAGTGGAATATTATGACATTCTCTTTTTTTTCTAGAGTTTTATCCAGTGCTCCAAAAGCCAAGATTAGCAGATACTAGAACTTCCATGCAGGATATTTGAAAAGGTTGTGAAACTGGATTAGTGACTTCGCCTTGAGGGTGGATATAAGTGAGTCAAGAGATTTATAGGGAAAGGATTTCTTTTACAATAGTTGCAGTTGGGCCAAATGAAGGAAACTCTCAATAGCTATTGAGAACACCTGGCATGTTTCTCCTGGAGATTGAGAACAGGCTTGAGGAAAAGGTTGGCTTAGCAGAGCAGGAAAAGTAGCAGTGCCTTCAGAGTGTGAGATGACTACTCTTCTAGCAAAGGAGTCGGGGGAAAGGGTGAGCGTAGGGCAAGAACAAAGACATGTTTTTCCAGGCCAAGTAGACCCACAGAGGAAAGCTGGTCTTGAGTCAGTGTAAGGACCTAACAGGAAATCCGGAGAGAAAGTGCCGCTGTATGCAGAATCTGATGAGGCATTTTAGGCATTCAGTCAAAGCTAAGGAATAGCCCAGTAGGAGACCCCCAGATGGGGCATTTCTGAAGAATCTACAAAACTTCTCTGTGAAATACATCTTTAAGATGTGGACATCTGCCGTACCCAGAAGGAACCTCTTTCAGTTCACCGTGGCTCCTGAAGAGCCAGGACAAGATGCTCTTGGGAAGAAAAGAAGTAGAAAGGTAAGACCCTCTCCACATTGCCATTGACTCAGCCGAGTCAGCCCCAGACTGATGGCTCAGGAAAAGATTCAAGATAGAGCAGCAAATGAAACTTTGATAGTAAACTAGACTTCAAAATCTGGAAAATAATAATGCTATTTAAAGAGAGTGGCTAGAATATAAGGAGTTATGTCCAAGAGCTCATACAGTAGGAGGGAAAAGCAATTCAAAAGAGTCTGTTTAAAAGAAAATTGAGGAAAAGAATAAAAGAGCTACTTAAAACCTTACAATGTCCAGCTTTTCAGTGTAACATACATTGAAATATCTAATCAGGAATAAACCAAGGTACACTGGTAAAATTTGCACACACAAACTCATATTTAAGAAAATGCAGCTACGGAAATAATACTGTATATTTGCTTCAAATGTTTTCAGAAATATAAAATGTCTGGTTGTGATAAATATAATAAAAACACAGAATAAGGGAGCTTGAGAGTGATGAAGGCAGATTGCTATAGGGACAGCATTTATAACAAGGCACCGTTTCAGTAGACACTTGCCAAAACTCATGGAACTACGTTCGGTTTGGAGGAAGATTATTCCAGGCAGAGTATGCAAGAAGTAGAGAAGTCTGAGACCAGGGCATGTTGCTTGTATTCAAGGACCAGCGAGGGGCCAAGGGGGTGGAAAGGCTAGAAGCAGAAAAGGAAAGTAAGAGGTATGATCAGAGAAGGGCCAATTCAAGTAGGGCCTCCCAGGCAATGGAAGAGCCTTGCATTCTACTCTGGGAGATACAGGAGGGCACTGAAGGGTCGTAAGCAGAGGAGTAGCCTGGATCTGTTGTATATGCCTAAAGGTTTGGTCTCTTATGTTTTGTTTTGGTTGTGTTTGTTTGTTTTGAGAGGGAGTCTCGCTGTGTTGCCCAGGCTCGAGTGCAATGGTGCAATCTCAGCTCACTGCAACCTCTGCCTCCCAGGTTCAAGCAATTCTGCTGCCTCAGCCTCTTAAGTAGCTGGGATTACAGGTGTGTGCCACCACGTGCGGCTAATTTTTGTATTGTTAGTAGAGACAAGGGTTTCACTATGTTGGCCAGGCTGGTTTCAAACTCTTGACCTTGTGATCCGCCCACCTCAGCCACCGAAAGTGCTGGGATTATAGGCATGAGCCACCGCACCTGGCCGTTTGTTGCTGCTGCTGTTGTTTGTGTTGTTGTTGTTTTTAATTACTGTGTCTATTTTTGGTTTGGGCAGGGCAACTCTCCAGTTGGCCATGGTTCACTATGCCCACTCCATTGTCTAATGCCAGGCCTGCTTCACATTTGTACTTTGCTTTCCTGGCTTCTGATGGCACCTGAATTTGTAACCTTTATTCCAGGCTCTTACAATTTCTGCCTTTTACCACACAATAGGAAAATCCTCTTAAAACATAAGCTCAAGCTACTAACCTTCCCATTTCCTTTTTTCTTTTGATATACCAGGTCTTCCCAGACATTGCCTTGTTCACATTCTAAATTATAAAGGAGTTCTAAAACTTCCAAGGTTTCTGGGGCTTACTACCATTCAATAGTTTAGACCTAAAAAACTAGATGCTGCAGAGGTCTTGAGCTTGTTGCCAACTAAAGACCACATTAGTGCTAGAGATCTTTTTAATTTCTCCTGAAGAACAGCCAGGCTGTACTGGAACAATACTCATGCCTAGGCAAGGTCATTCCTAGAGAATGAGGAGCCCAGCCACCTGTCATAAAATGGACTCTTTGGCTCCAAAATATATTGTTATGGAAATAAAATCAGTTGAAAATTCACTTCTAAGACAGATTTGAAGAGGGAAAGAAATCTCTGAGGAGCAGCCTATGTTCAGGAGTGGAACAAAAACAGCATCTATTTGTTCTATTAATGGCAGCGTTGTGAGGGTTAAGGTACAAGGGGGATTAAAGGACCTTGGGTTTCCTTTTCTTATAACATTTCCTCGCTTCAGTTGCCCCCTTGAGTTCCAAGCATGGCAGGAGTTAAAACGATCACTACCAAACACAGGACCTACTAGACACCCCCATTTACCATTGCACGGAAGATCCAATATGTCGTATCTGGGCAGATAGTTTACTCTCTTATGGAATTCCCAGCTCCCACCCAATAGTACTCCAGAATTGAGCTCACAGAGTCTATAACACTCCCCAAGCACATTTAATTATTAGTTGCTCTGTTTAACATGCATTACCAGTTAGATTTATTAAGTATGTACTATCTGTCAAGCACTTTGGGCCATGAGTATTAGGCCTTGAGTATAACAAGGTTAATAAGAACTATTCTGTCCTTGATGAATGCACGTTCTAGTAGAGTAGCCAGAACTATAAATAAATAAAAGGTGGTGTGATCTATTAAGTGTTATTACTGAGGTAAAAAAGTGTGAATCCACAGAGGACGCTATCATGTAGAAGGGAGAGGTTCATGTGCAGAACTGAGCATCTTGCTTTTTGTCACTTTACATTTTAACTTGTTCTAGAATCCAGAAAATAATTTTATGTGTAACAAATCATATCAGTTTGTAAAGGTAAGATGGTAGAAGGGCTTCAGTAACAATTGTAAGATCTTGAACTGCATGCTATAGCAATGGGAATCCACTGAAGGTGTTTAAGCAGAGAGGGTGCTTCATTACAATCACATTTTCTCATTTATGTTGCTAGGGCAGCTGCTCTGAGCACCTGATTGCTATATCAGGCCAGCAGCTGAGAGCAATCTACCAATGGAAACAAGACAAAGTTGCGGCACCCCACCCCTGCCCATCCTGGAGCAACATGCAAACCCCTCTAAAGTCTTTCTATTCTATTTAGAACATTCGGCAGAATCTGGACTGTGCTCCTGCATGCGTGAGTGCTCCGGCAGTCTTCCTCTCCAACTATACCTCCTGCAACTCCCTTCCTCCCTCTCTAAGTTCCTTCTCCAACCCCCTTTTCATTCCTAAGTATCCAACGGTTTCCCATACCGAGGTATCACACATGATGTTTCTCCTTCCTGCAATGTTCTTCTCCTTGTACCTCGTATGGTGACTTTTCCTTACCCTTCTGTTTTCTGCTTAAATTTTACATCTTCCTTGTCCACCCTCTGTGATACCCTCCATCCCCCAATTCATTTATACTAGAGTACCCAAGTTCTATTCATCATAAAACACATAGCAGCCTAAAATCAACTGGATGGTGATGATAGATGATAGATGATAGACAGATAGACAGATACATAGGCAGGCAGACAGATGGCTGTTTTCTATTTTAATGTTTGCCTCCCCATTAGACCATTTCACTACAGCCTCTATGGGTCTGTTTTGTTCACTGTATTTTCAAAATCAAAGTGCTCAACACATTTTTGTTGAATAAAGCATACTTTTTCTTTTTTTTCACAACATTTCCTTGACATGATGTAACTAATTTGCATATATTTCCAAGTTATTTTACCTAAATGTCTAAAATTCCCCTGCCCGGACCACTGTCCACTATGTGAGAAAATCATGGAAGAGACAACATCCCATCCCCTTTTTTCAGGACAAAGCACTACAAGAACAATAATGCAGGAAAATTTTTAAATGCTGCAATGTGTTTTTTAATTCGCATTGAATTCCTCATTCTCATGTATGACCAATTTCTAGATTTACTGTAATTTTTATTTAAATGCATATCCATTTATTACCTTTTGTCATCAAAGTGAAGCATATAGTTAAGTCTGCCTTTCTGCAGTATGTCGAGAAATTAAAAAAAAAAAAAATCCACTCACGGGACGCGGTGGCTCACGCCTGTAATCCCAGCACTTTGGGAGGCCGAGGTGGGTGGATCACGAGGTCAAGAGATCAAGACCATCCTGGTCAACATGGTGAAACCCCGTCTCTACTGAAAATACAAAAAACCAGCTGGGCATGGTGGCGCATGCCTGTAATCCCAGCTACTTAGGAGGCTGAGGCAGGAGAATTGCCTGAACCCAGGAGGCGGAGGTTGCGGTGAGCCGAGATCGCGCCATTGCACTCCAGCCTGGGCAACAAGAGTGAAACTCCGTCTAAAAAAAAAAAAAAAAAAAAAAATCCACTCAAATCTTGTTTGAATATATAAACTAGTGGAGGTAACTTTTATTGCAAGTACACATAAACATTTTTCTTATGTTATTTTACTCCCAGCTTCTAGCCAAAACATTTTTTTTTTTTTAAGCAGGGCAGGAGGGTCTTGCAATCATTGTAGAATTTCAAGCCTTAGTCAAAAAAGAAAGTCCCAAGAATCTTTTCAGAAATCCTGTTTGGGCGCTATTCCTAGCCTAATTTTGCAAACTAAGATGTTTGGGCAGTGCTGGTGTGCCAGGGATAAGCAGTTGAGGATTTTTATCTGAATCTAACCCAAACTCCAGCCCTAATTAAAATACCACAACATTGTCAACTCTTTTACTATGTTAGACTTCAGTTTAGTTGAACTAATTCCACTTCTGGAATACAGCCTCTCATTTATGTTCCTGCTGATTGCTTATAATTTCATTTCAGCTCTCCTCTTGCTTTTCAAAGGACAGAAGTATTGTCCCAGTTTTTGTTGCTATGCAGACATCTCTGAAGTTGCATACTAAAGCCAAATAGCATGGATACAGTGACAGGAGCTTCTGAAGCTTTCTGTTTTTTCCGTTTTCCTTTTCTGATGACCGAGGATGGTGCAAAAGATGCCTTATAATGCTTTATTTATATTGTCTTATACATTCTGGAGAAAGAAGTGCTGATATATAGATGCATACTATATATCTATACCTATGTCCATTTTAATTGCCAAATACATTTGATGTTGGGCTTTGAGTTCATAGTCTGCTATATAGGAAGCATGAACTGTAAAAACTAGTGCAAACTCTGTGTTTATACTCCACACGTACATGTAATGGAGGCTTAGAAGCTATCAGTCTCTAAGAACATGCCCTAAATTCTTTGAAATTCCATCAAAGAAAATCAGCAAAGGACACAGGTGCTCTGTCCCGCATCCCAAGACCGCTTTACATGCGTATCCACCTTTTCATCCTGTTGCCTTCCAACCTTCTAAAAAGCCCCTAAATTTCAACTTGCATTACCTGTTGCTAGTGCTGCTGCTATTCCCTCATTACTATTTCACTCGACGTTCTGGAGCTTAGCATGAAGTCAAATGTAAAGTGACAAGTTAAAACCAAGGGGCTTCAAAGTACAAATTGTATATGATCTTCTTGCCATAACAGAATAGTGACATTGTCCTGTAAAATTATAGCATCTGTGCTCTTTTACTCCAGAGGATTAGCAGCATGAGTTCCATTCAGTCATTAATGGGGATTCTAGAGAGATTTGGAACTGTTTCCCAGAAGAACAAGAGAGAGTAGAGTTTCCAGATTCTCCATATAAATAATTTTTCTTAAATTGTAAACATATTATTTATTAAATTGAACAGTTATTTACTGGCCATCTATCCTAAATGCTGCACATAAAGAAGTGAGGGAAAGTCAAAGATGTCCCTCTCATGGAGCTCAGATTTTAGTTGGGAAGACATTAAACAAATAAATGAATAAATAGAACATATATTGGGTCGGAGGTGATGAGGTTTGTAGAGAGAAGTAAGGCAGAGAAGAAGGAGAGGGCTGGGCAAAGAATGGAAAGTTGTGGGCAGTGGATGGAATTTTAATAGGGTGATCGGGGAGGTCTTCACTACATAAAGACATTTTTTGGGGAAAATTCTGAAAGAGTCAGACAGGTAGAATACCCAGGGGAAGAGCATGCTAGGCAGAAGGAACAATAAACACAAAGGCCCTGAGAAGGCAGCATACCTTATGTGTTGGAGGAACAGTAAGAAGATCAGAGAGGCTCACATGCCAAGAACAGAGAGAGGGCTCCATGTGATGTCAGAGAGGTCAGGTGTAGGGGCAGGCAGTCCAGACATGGCCCTGTGAGCCAATGTTAGGACTTTGGCGATTGTGTTTTACTCTGAATGACGTAAGAAACCTTTGGAAGACGTATTAGTTTCCTGGGGCTGCCATAACAGATTGCTACAAACTAAATTACTTAAAACCACAGAAATGTATTTTGCCTTAGTTCTTCTAGAGGACGGAAGTCTAAACTCAAGGTGTTAGTAGATCTGTGCTCCCTCCAAGGGCTCTAAAGGAAAATTCCTCCTTACCTCATTTGGCTTCCCATGGCTCCAGACATTCCTTGGCTTGGGACTATGTTGCTCCAGTCTGTGCCTCTGGTGGCCTTCTCCTCAGTGTCACTGCATCCTCTCCTTCTGTATCTTATAAGAACACTTGTCACTGGATTTAGAGCCCATCTGGATAACACAAGATGATCTCATCTTCCGATCCTTAATTACTTCTTCAAAGATCTTTTGGTTGTTTGTTTGTTTTTCAAATAAGTTCACATTCCCAGATTTTAGGGATTAGAATATGAACGTAACTTCTGGGGTGGTAGGGACAATTCAACTCACTACAGAGGATTTTCAGCAGAGGAATGGCAAGATCTAACTTGTGCTTTAGCTGGCTTTTTCTAGTTTCTGTGATGGAAATAGACTCCAGGGAAGCAGGAAGTCTGTGATATCTCACAGACCATAGGACATAAGGAGCTAATTAAGGTGACTATGGGGTCTATATCTGAAGAGTAGTAGTGCGGATGGTGAAATTGGCTGGATCCTAGATGTATTTCAGGTAAAGATGACAGAATTTACAGGGGATTTTATGTGAGATGTAAAAGTAAAGTCAAGGGCAACTTCAAGGTTTTTGGCTTGAATATCTGCAGTTATTTCTGATGTATATGGTAGGAATGCCTTCTTACCTATAAAGCTTTTACATCACTGAGGTCAAGGTCATTAGCTAGCTGCCACTCTGGCTCCATCCATCTCAGGTTGAATGTCATTTCCTTCTGGCAGACTTCCCTGACATCAATAGATTGGATTAACACGTCTCTGTCCTCTGTGCCCTAAGTTTATTCCTATCATAGCTCTTTTTGTCATTTGTGTTAGTCTGCTTTTGTAGAAGCCCCCAAAAGTTAGTGACTTAAAACCAAACCAAACCAAAAAATAAATAAATAAATAAAAACCACATGTATTTAGTTCATGACTTTGCAGGTTGACAATTGGATTTGATTGACTGGCTCATGCATCTGAAATTTACTAGGGGGTCAGCAGGAGCTGAATAATTTATCATGCCCCCATCTGAGATTTCTGAGATGACTGGGGTCTTTCGTCATGTTGTCTCTCATCCTCCATAGGCTAGCCTGAGATTGTTTCTGTAGCAGCAGTAGTGTTTCAGGGAGTGAGCACAGACTGCAAGATCCCAGAAAGACAGGTACAATTTAACTTCTGTCAAATTCTTTTGGTCAAAGTAAGTGACAAGCCCAGTCCAGAATCAAGAGATGAGAAAATAGGTTCCACTCATCTATAGAAGTTACCAAGTATTGTTGCAGGTTTTCCAATCTAGCGTATCACATAATATAGTTACTTATTCCTTGCTAGCTAATAAACCCCGCAAGGAAAGGAAACAAGTCTCTCTTTGTTCACCACTGCATCCCCAGACAGTAGACACTGAATACATATTTACTAAAGAAGTGAGTGAAAGAATAAATAAAAGAATTGATTGCAAAAGAAACTAAAATACAGCTCAGTCAGCAAATGCCATGATCTCTTAGTCTTCCTCCATTCCCTTGACATATGCATCAGAATCCTTATACACTTAGTATTTGTAACCTGTACCTACAGGCTGGGAAACTATTGCTTCGAATCAGAGATTAGAAGTAGGATGGGCATATGCAAGAAATTGTCAAAATCAGCACTATTTCTCAAATTTGTTAAACACTATATATATTTGGGATAACTTTTTAAGGGTGTTGGCTTTTTATTTCCTTAACCTGGAACAACAAATTATTGCAGTTTTCCTTGGAATAATTATATCTATATATACAAGTTAATAATATACTTCTTGAGTGATAGCAGGTGCATGTAGATCCATTTTTTTAGGGTTCAGTGTTCAGGTAGATATCTTCTTTGTATAAGTCACTTGGCTTTCTGGCTTTCTTTAGGAATGCCTTGCAGACACCAAAGTTTTTCAAAAGGATTCTTTTCCTTACTGATGTTCATCTTAAAATCTAAAATGCAAAGGATTCATTAATATATGCCTTTATTGTTAAGCAGTGTCATTTTCTGGGAAACAGGTAGGGTTTTACAAATGGACTACAAGGACAAGTTATTATCCTTTTTGCAATGGGAACACATAAGTACCTTAGTAGTAGAGCTAGGAATTGAATTTAAAATCTCAGTGCCCAATCATTTTCACTAATGACTTCATTCCTAAGCTCCATCTATTTTTCTCTGTCACTCTTTATATCACAAAGAATTCACACTACCTACCAGCAAGATCCTTTTAGATTCTCTTACATCTTTCAAATCCTCTTTAATGTGAACTTCTTTCAGCAATGAACCTGATTGTCTTCCTGCGCCTTATTGATCTAAGTACATCAGCCTGTTGTTTGTGCTGCCTGTCTGTTGCAGTTAGTCTAATAAGTCTTTTGGACTATTCAGTTCTGTGTTTGGTGGTGTGCCTATGTTTTGTACTCTGTACAACAGAGATGTGGAAACAAAGCAGTAATCTGAGACCCAATTCAGTAAGAGCAAGTCCTGGAGAACTTCTGCCTCTCCAGAGAATATTGTTTCAAAAATAAGAATATCTGGGAAGTAAAGGAGCTGTCTAGGAGACATGAGATGGATACGTGAGAGCAAGAACCCAGTTCTTTGAACACTGAAGTGAAGGAATGAGAAAAAAGGGTTGGTTCTGCATTAAACAAAAATTGTTAATCATTAGGAACTTGTGTCTGCTAGGAAGCAAACACTGAAAGTGAATGAGAATGCAAGAATCTCAGAGTTTGATCAGGGACCTAAACCTCTGAAAATCAAAAGAGGTAAGAGTCAGGGGTTGAGCAGATAAGCCTCAGACCACAGTGCAAACCCGACAGTCTTGACCAACCCAAAGGGAACTAGGAATAAAAACCACCCATGAGAGGAATCCTGCACTGGGCAGAAACAGACCTAAAGAACCCCATTGAGCTTAGTCATTATCTAAAAACTACCTGATAAGGTGAATTCTGAAGATGAAGTCTGTTAGCTCACTTCATTCCCTGCCACAGAACCACAAGGTTTTTATTGAAGGGAAACTCAAATAGCATACCTTCCTGGCTGCTATGGAACTTTAAGTGGTTTTAAAATATTTGGGAAAGAGTAGAATGTTGAATGAAACCACTCTTTCAACCTCCATTGTAGCCAGTGGGGGTGAGGAGGGAAGGCTACCATCGAAAGATAATTTTAAAGAATCCTAATATATTCAGTCATTCTGTTAATCAGCATAACTTTTTAATCATTTGTGGTTTGGGTGCCCTTTCTAGAGGTTTTGCTTGTCATTGTGTTTATGGGAAATTGACGATTATTAATTGTTTTTAAGCTTGAACCAGTCCTTATTAGAATTCAAATATGTTTCCCACTACTGGGTCCAATATCTATGTAATCATTTATCTTATAGTGAATTTTACTGTAAGTGTAATATTTACAAGAAGCAATTTGTCATTCCTAGGTTAAGTATAGAAGCTTCAATATTTTCTGGATAAATATGTCAAAATCACTAAAATTCAAGCAATAAAGAATAAGAAGCTTATAATGTCTTATATTAGACATGAGAGGTTTGCTATTTGGTTTGACTCTGTTATCATTATTGTTTTATAAATATATTTGTTCAATTATTACCCATCATTAGTATTAATGGCATTAATGCTGGTAATCTGTCTCACTAAGGATTTCAATGTGTGATACTTTTTCTATGCTAAATGAGTTCCAGCACTCCAGCACCAATTCCCACCTTGATTTGCTGCGCCTGAAGTCTCCAAATACAATTAATTTTAGTTCATATAAGAATATACCGGGCCGGGCGCGGTGGCTCAAGCCTGTAATCCCAGCACTTTGGGAGGCCGAGGCGGGTGGATCACGAGGTCAAGAGATCGAGACCATCCTGGTCAACATGGTGAAACCCCGTCTCTACTAAAAATACAAAAAATCAGCTGGGCATGGTGGCGCATGCCTGTAATCCCAGCTACTCAGGAGGCTGAGGCAGGAGAATTGCCTGAACCCAGGAGGCGGAGGTTGCGGTGAGCCGAGATCGCGCCATTGCACTCCAGCCTGGGTAGCAAGAGCGAAACTCCGTCTCAAAAAAAAAAAAAAAAAAAGAATATACCATACAGCATTTTGGGTTAGGAAACAGGGTGGCAGATACAAACAATTTTGGACTATTTCAACTCCCCAAATACTTAGATCTTTAGTCTAATTGGCACTACAACCCCCTTTTTCTCACAGTAGACAGCACTCCTTGTCATTTAAACATTTATCTATGTGCATGTTCCCAGGTCTGGGGAGCCTGGAAGAACACATGCTCAAGGCAAAGGCTGAGTGAGGCCCAGGAGGTGCAAATGATCCGTCATGCTTATGCCTCGTGGCTCCTTTCTGTGGCCTGCACCCCAGTCGTGCCCTAACATTTCAGTTGGTCTGTCTCCATTTCCCACTGATCCTCTACTCTATGCTCTGAGCAAATAACACCGATTGCCCTAGCTCGCCCCAGCTCATGGTGCTCTCCCCTGCTGCCCTGCCTCTGTCTTCGTGTTCATTCACCCTGGCCTTCTCCTCCTGAGTCCCTTACCTCCTCCTGCATCCCTTGCCCAAACAACTCCTACTCTGTCGTCAAGAGTCACATCAAGCATCATCTAGACTATAGAGAACTCCTTAATTGCCCCCTCCTTTGCTTTCTTTCCTCTGTATGTTTTTCCTTTGTACAGTTGCCCAAGATTACTATCAATCTGTTTATATACCTGCTTCTAACACTTCCACTAAAAACTGAAGGCAAGGATGATACATTTTCATATATATATATATCTATATATAGATAGATAGATAGATATAGATATATAGATATATAGATATATATACACCCTAGGTTCTTGCTGACAAAACACTGCATTTTTGTTGAAGGAGTGAATGAATCTCTCGGCCAGCACCTCCACAGTCATTCTCTGAGTTCCTGCTGCAAGTTTCCTCCCACACTAGCAGACCCAAGAGCACACGAGCACAGGTGTGGCACCATCTTCATTAGGATGTCACCCCCACACAGAGGTGCTTTCTCTCTACCTTAACTGAAATCTGACTTTACTTGGCATATGGATCTTCAGTTAGTTACTGGAACAAAGTATCTCTGATAGGATAATTAAAACTACTGTGAATTCACGTGTCACTCTAAGTGTAACTTTGTTCATGGGTTAATTTTGCCAGTAGTAAGTGAATTGAAAAAGACTGGGAAGCCAGTAAAACATAGAAATGAACCCCTAATGGTGGCATTTTAGGAAATAGGAGAAGACAGATGGGAAGATATTTCTGGACCAGAGAGCTTCTGGGTGCCCTTCACATTGTACCACGGAAGCCATTTCCATTCTTGTACAGAAGGTTGGATCTGCTGCTACAATACTCTCTGGTTCTCCTGAGAACAATATTTCTATTTTTGTCATTTATGAAAAGGTAAAAGCACCCTTCTTTCTGGTTGTCAGGGAATAGGAAGGAGCCCCTCTCATACACTGGCCAGAAAAAGCCAATAACAAACAGAGCCATCTGCTTTCTACATTCAGTAGACACCATAATAACACTTCCCAGTTTAGAGATAGACAATGAAGTTCAATGGAAACAGATTTGTAATAATTATAATTATAACTTACACTGATTAAGTGTTTACGCAGGTGCTATGCTAAGCCTTTTCTTTTATTTCTTACATCGACTATATAAGTAAGGTTATTGTATTATCCATATTTTTAGGGAAGTTAGGTAACTTGACCGTGGTCAGACAGATAAATGTCTGAGTCACAGAACTGGTGCCCAGATAGTTATGATTCAGACCCCTAAATATGCCATCTGGAAGGCATCCCCTGGTTTAAAGAAGGGGCACCTAACTATGGTTACATGTCAATATACAATCTAGTACTACTGGTACTGTTATCGCTTTTCTTTATATGGCAAGGTATTTATGTTTACATTTGCTGTATTCATGACAGTACAGAAGACCTAATTCTGAATCCAATTTTTACATTAAACAACTGGTATAGAAAATATAAATGCTTTGCTGTTATTTTGAATATTTTTTCTGCAAAAATTGATGAAACATCTACAATATGTAAAGGACACTTTCAAAATATTTGGAGAGATATTTTAGAGGAAACTGTATGGTCCCCAATTCAAAAGAGTTTACAACCTGAAAAGTAATATTAAGACCTCAGTAACATTACAAGTCCAACCTGTGTATAAGCTGTGTTCAAATAGATAGAAAAAGAACCCTGAGAACTCACCCATCCACTCAGAGAGCAATCAGACTATTGGATGTCAGAGACATAAAATAACTATTGTCTTCACCCTTTTACTTTCAGGCAATTGTTTCCTAAACACTGTTATAGTCACTAAGTCTGCATACTTCAGAAACTACAGATCTCCACTAAATCTCATGGAAATGTGTGTTGGTGTTTTCCTTGAGATTTCCTTTAAAGTATCACTTCTGTCCATCAAGTCAGAATTCTTATAAGTGTAGTGTGTTTAAGTTCTTTATCTTTCCTGACAGTCTATAAAGTCCCAATAGCAGCAAACATTCTGAACTCCTGACTACTCTCTGCAATGTGCTTAGATGTTTATGTTGAGACTTTTAATGCCATTTGGTGAAATATAGTTAACCTATGTCATTTGATTCACACCAAGTTAATGTTAGCTCCTATAAGGCTATGATCAATTGAGTCAACTAGTTGGTTTGACTGATTTTTCCTTTGAATTCACCTAATTGCAGGGCTGTTTAAGTATCTGCTGACACCTTTACACAAAGAGAAGGCAGGCTTCACATTAGCTTGCTAAAAGAGGGTTATTCTTTTTTTCTGAGATCTGCTGCGGACTTACTGAGTGGCTGTTGGCAAGTTATGATCATATCTGCCCTCTCCTCTTTCTTATTTTTAAAATAAAAATATGAATATAAAACAACCCAGAAAACCTCTAGAGATGCTAAATGAATAAGTTAATAACCATTGTTTATTTAAAGATACATCTGCATTGTACAAAGAGAGCAATTTCTGTTACCCTGAAATGCCAACAAAAGCAATATGAAAAAAAAATAGCAACTTAAAGACATTTTTAAAAAGCTACCATTCAGTAGTACAATTGGGTTCTTTTGAGATAATTAATCATTAAGAGATATTTAAGTACTATTTTCTATTTACATTACAGTACATATCACTAGCTCTTTGAAAGTTAACAGGGATTAATTTTCTTTCAAAATAAATATTCCACTTAACGAATTGTCTGTGTTCTTTCACTGCTGTCTACGCCGTTCAAGTCAAAGCACTGATCTCATTCAAAACTCAGAATTTCAGCCAAATTTGTTTACCTGGCTACTAATAAAAGATTTTTGGTATGCTGTCTGAAACCCTAATGACAAAATAGGGAGGATCATAAAATGTTCATAAAAATTGGATTGGATCGAACATCAGCTAATCCGAGTATATTTTTCTCTACGATTAACAAGTTCTTAATGACAACATTTCTTATCTTACAACTGTGACATGAAGAGGGAGCTGTAGCTCTTCTGAGGCACAGTTCTCCAAGAACCAGCTTATCCATGCTCTCCGATCTCGTGTCTGTTTCTCTTTCTCTCTCCCTCTCTTGCGCCTTCCCTCTCCCTCTCTTTCGCCTTCCCTCATTCACGCACTCTTCCATCTTTTTGCCATTGTGCCAGCTCAATTTAAATGTATCTGCTCTGTATCTGTTCAAGTGGAGATAATCCATGCAAATCAGGAGCCGTGGCTCTCAATGCCTGGTTCACAGAGAGGACTCAGCTTGAGGAGGTCACTCGTTCACAGCCGCTCCTCCCATTATATTTTTCCCCTTATTGCAGAACTGCTGTATGTATACAGTGACTGAAAGGACTCAATTTACTGCAACTGCTGCCTGGCTTTACTTACAACTTTTTTTTTTTAATATAAAGGAACTTACCTCCATCTGTCTTTTCAAGGTAGGAAGTCTGATTCTTCTAAAGACGTGTGTAATGCCTCCACTGTCTGCTCATTATCAAATGTCACTTGAATGCTTTATATTGTTGCTGGCATTAGGCACAAATACTGTGATTCCAGGTGCCTCACGCTTTTGTTACTTAACCATATAGGTACAATTGTTTAAGTGCTGGGTATTATAATGTTTATTTTCCCTGCAGCCAGCTTCAGTTTTACAATGCCAGAAAGATTAGAGTATCCACTCTCTAATGTAAATATATAATCCTCTATCAAGTTCTCCCTCTTAGAAAAATATTAATTTCTCAATATGGTTTAACTTATTATGTATGCTGGCCAATAATAGCCAAGTGTAAAATTCAACCATGTTAAGATTTTTTTTAACCTGGAACCCTCCTGCAGCATTTTCTGTGAAAAATAACTAACTGTTGAAATATTTTTAACAAAAGCAACAAAATAATAGATTTTACTTCATCCTGTTGCCAAGCAAAAAGCTGAAGGCCTTATTGCTAACAGGCCTATCAAATAGATTTATTCTTCACAATTTATAAATTGTTACTTGGCTATGCAGAAGTATTACAATTAGTTAGGATTCAGTTACTGTCGTTATCCATGTGATTATTTGCTGTTTTGAGATTGAAATTGTTTTATAGAAAATTAATGTAGTAAGGCTTTAAGACACCCTTATGTTTGTATAACACTGTCTCAGATCAATTTGTAAGAATGATTGCAATAGCCAAATGATTAAGTTTGGATTAAAAATGCATGTGAGAGGCTAGTAGATTCAACAGTATACATGGTGATTTATGTAAGCAATTCCTGTGCTTACATTACTTCATACGTGTCTCCTTAAAGTTACTTACAATATTTGAATCATTCCTTAGTCATATCCATTTTAAAACATACTAAAATGTCGTAACATTATAGACTCAAAAATCTCTTTTTGATGAGTACAAATATAATTAGAACATTCCAGTTACAATTTAGATTTCAATAAATGTAATATGTCTTTGAAAGTACTCCTTATTAATTTAATTTTGCATTTATTACCTTATTTTTCTAAGAAGGCTTTGACTTGTGGCTATGACAAGGCTATTTAATCTCTTATATAGGATAGAATTGAACATAAACAGTAAACAAAGTTGACAGTCCTGAAAAGAAGAAAAAATTATCCTCTGGTATACTGAATAGTTCTGATGACATAAATCTTACATTTCATCTTCTAGGTAGATACTTGTAGTTAGTGGAGTTCGAGGGAAAAAATTTATTATCCACATAAAATATCTCAATGCCAAAAATGTGCACTTCTTTTTCTTTTTGATACAGAGTCTTCTATTGAAAAAAAATGCACCCTGATTTTTGTGTGCAGTACAAGGCATGAAGTCCCGTCATTGTTAGCATAAAGAAGACATCTGCACAAGTATTACTGTGCAGAGGGCAATCTTTCTGTCTCTGGCATTTGTTAGGTTACTGTACATAGAATTTAACAGATAAATATGTTCTGCTTCGTGGCATTTTAGTGATCCTATTGGTATGCAAGCTACTCAGCTAGGATAGCAACAGAAAAAAAAAGATGTATGTTTTATAGCAGTGGGTAATAAAAGCCCTTTACAGTGAGAGAAGAGGAATTTGACTTATTTCTTATGCAGTAATTAGAATTTCTGTAAAACTCTTTGAAATACTGAGTTATAAAGTAAACTGAGGCTTTCCAGGAAGGGCCAATTGAATTTTTCTATTTGAGCCATGTAGTTGTCCATGAATATCTTCTTCACAGACACTGTCAATGGAGAATTCCATTCACACCTTCAGCATTACAGGGAAAGAAAAGGATTCGTCACTAACAGTAAAGGATGACAATTCCATATTTAAAATGAGTTTGAGAGCAGCACCCTACACAGGAAAACCTTAACAGATGGAAAGGTGCGTGGGATTGCCTGGTTATGTGAACTTGAGACTAGTGTGAAACTAAAGGATGCCCTTTCAGAACAAAGGAACGCCATGTAATACTCTTGTCAGCAGTCAAGCTGAGGATAGATATAAAAAGTGGCCAAGGAGATCTTTTGGGGACAGAGAAAATGCAAACAACGAGACATTCTCTTTTCAACCAAATTACCAGGGTTTGACAGGTATAAAGGCACTCCCCGTGGAATCTCAAACCATCCTTTCACAGAGTTATTTCAAAAGCACATATTTTATAGACTTTCCCATTTGTTAGCAAACCTCTGAGAAAACTCTCCAAAGACCTTACTTGTATGCCTTAAGTTAGGTTTTACAACTATGCATCCTAAATGAAATGGTCACAGCCCTCAACTCCCTTGGGTTTCTTTTGCTTCATCTGTAAACTTGCCATTCCTCCAGTAACTCATTCAAGCAACTGTTCAGGATAAGTTACATTTTACTCCATTTTAGTGTGCCTTGCAGCAGAATCTGTAGAACTGGTAAACCTTATGTTTATATATAATACCATGTTGTTATTCCCACCTGGCTCTTTTTGACTGCTTTTACTGGGTACAGTTAAAAAGATAAATTATCATCTTAAAAGGACGCTATGGAAGGTGTTAATAAGTTCCCTGTAACTTCAGGAGTATTCACTGGGGCCATAGAAGCTTGCAACCCTGCTTAAGGGGAAATGATGTGCTTCATCAGTAAACATTCAAAGCTTGTATCATCTGTAAACATTTGAAGGATTCTATAATACCGTATTTATTTCCTAAATCTTGGAAGTTACTGCTGCATATGGATTCATTATGATATTGATTGAAAGCTCAACAGATTTTGCTTTATCAGCAAGGACTTAAATTTGTACAACAGCACTATAGGGTCAGTGAAACCATCTTCCCCATTTCAAAGATAAAGAGAGATACAGAGAGGTTAAGTAACTAAGCCAAGGCCACACAGCTGGGGTAGAACTGGGATGTGAACACATTTATTCTGTTCCTGGCTTTGAAAAATCACACAATAATGCCTTTCCTTGCTGCTAATTATCTCTGACGACTAATAGTAGGGACATTCCACCCCCTACAAATAGCAAAAATGCTTCGATTTACCCATTTGTCATCTGGATTCAAATATCTGATTCTGATTTTTCAACTCTTTTCATAGCCCTTCACCTCAATCTGTATTATCACGATTGCATTGTTTTCAATAGTTGTTTCATTTAATGCATGTCAGGAATGGTTATTCTTGCAGAACATTTGTCTTTTACCTCCAGGAGTTAAGAACTAAATCAGATCTGTAATTGACTGACTTGTCTACTGACAGCCTTTGAAGAGCCACCACTCCCCACCTTGTTTTTCTGTCTAAAGAGCAAGATTGACATCTCTTTATATGTTTAAAATTTGTCAGTGGTATAAAGTGCTTGGTAATGATGGAAATTAACCTGAGGCTTTATCTAACTACCTTTCCTGGTAATGCCATTGAAGTTCTGATAACAATTTAAATTTTGATGCAATCAACTGTTCACATAAGAGAAATATTTTTTTTTCTGTCTTGTCATCCCTTTCTTGAAAGTCTGGGTAGTAGTGGCTCTTTTCCTTGCCCTTCTCTTCTCTGGATCCATCTGAATGAAATTTTCCCTAGCCAAAATACATCAGCACATTAGAAAAGCAGATAAAGAAAACAAATGAAGTCGCAATGCGTGTTTAAACAGTCTGACTGTGGAACACTGAACATAATTATCTGTCCTTGTGTCAGTAGGTGTTACCTCCTTAAGGAGAACTGAGTAAGAACAGGTCTGTACGGGGCAGCATTTGTGGCCTTACTTCTGTCTGTTTATTTGGGATAGTCTTTGAATTGTCTCTCACTGTCCTTCCTCCCAATGTGAAAAGAGGAACTATTATACATATTATACATGTAACCTATAGGAATCTGATTCAAAGCCTATGTTTGTTTGACCTGTAGATATCAGATACCTAATATAAACAAAATCCCGAACTGCATCAACACATAATCTAGTGGCAGAAGTTTGCAGAACATGGGTCAGTAGCAATTGAGCAAGCTACACGTTTCTCAAGTAACAAATGAAAAACAATTTTGATGGTATTCTGTGATACCAGCATTCTTTTTAGATCTTATTTGAAGTATCAGGCAGATGGACTGCCCTGTATATCCACAACCTTTATCTGCTGGCAGGCAGAAAACCCAAGAACCTATCTTTAAAGTTATTTTAATATATCAGTTTTTCCCAGATTAGCCAAGTTAGATGTCAACCATTGGTACAGGAAAGGTTGGGGATTAATTTAATTTTGAGCTAACCCTGCCATCGTCTCTTGCTGAGTGAGTCCCTTAGCCTGTGAGACATTCTTTTCAGATTTTATTTCTTCATTACTTGGTTGATATTCTTTCCTTGAAAAAAAAAAAAAAGTAGTGAGAGGAAAACAGAGGATGGTGATTTTGAGTCTGTGTTGATAGAAACAGTCAATGGAGTTAAAACTGACCTACCACCATTTGAAGAATGTGTTCCTCATTACTAAATTCTTTGGCTGCAATACTGAGCTCCCTATCTAAAAAGATGTTAATTTCCTGAAATTAAACATAAAAACCAAGGGGTTTTTCTCACTGAAGAAGGTGTGCAAAAATATTTAAACAACTTAACTCTGAAATGTATTGGCAATCAGTTCAGACTGGACAGTTAACATATTCAAGCTCAAAACCAAAACGTCATTAATAAGCTGTACATTTTGGTAAGCAAAACTTCATCATATTAGATGTATCTGGATTAGAAAGTGTGTTTGTTACTGTTATTGTTTTATGGCTAAAGTTATGTATAGTTCCATCTTCTCTCAGAAAAATTAATCAAGTGCCCTTTCTGCAATTGAGATCTCTTTTCTGTCTATTCACAATGCCTGCAGTTTATATCACACAAGTCAGTCTCTGTGTTCTTTTTTCATATTTCCCAGGTTGTTTCATGGGTCATATTCTTGTATTCCCAGTATTTTGTAAACTACTTGAGGGTGAAAATCACACTTAATCTGTGTCCTTCACAGTCCTAGCCTTAGCCTTCAAACTAGAGCCTACTCTTGATTAATATTTGAATGGTTGATTGAATTTTGTAAAAATCGAGTTAGCTTAGGTTATGTATTTTTAAAAAGGTGTTTCAGAAGCAATGAGAGGAACATCCATCCATTAAACACATTTCTTGAGACTTAGCTATATTCCAAACATTGAGCCTATGCTCTCTGACAACATATTAAAATTTACACATGCTTCATTTTAAAAATAGCAACAAGAAAGAAAATTATTCCAATGGGTAAAATAATATATACTATGATT